TTCAGGTAATCAGGCCTCACGTTTGACTAGGCCCTGAATCCTGACTCTTGAAATCTGTGACCAAATGCCACACCATAAGATGCGGTGATAGCCACAAGCTTAAAGGTAAAGGTTAAGGTAAAGGTTCCCTTGCTCGAAAGCCAGCCGAATCCGACTCTAGGGTTGCGGTGCTCATCTCGGTTTCAAAGCCGAAGAGCCAGCGCTGTCCGAAGACGTTTCCGTGGTCATGTGGCTGGCATGACTAAACACCGAGGCGCACGGAACGCTGTTACCTTCCGACCGAAGTGGTACCTATTTATCGATTTGCAATTTCTTGCTTTCGAACTGCTAGGTTGGCAGGAGCTGGAACTAGAGACGGGAGCTCACTCCGTCATGCGGCAACTCGGGTCTCGAACTGCTGAACTACCGACCTTCCACAGCCTGCAGTTCAGCGTCTTAACCACTTGAGCCACAAGCTTAGGGCCTGTTTAAAAGGAGTTGTGAAATTCACAGAGGATGTCTCTCACTTTTGTTAGCCACGGTGACTAAACGGAACCTCCATATTCAGGGGCAGTATACCAGATGCTGGGAGGAAACAATGTGAAAAGGCATCAGCTCATGCCTCGTTTGTGAGTATCCAAAGGCCACTGCTAGGAAGAAAACACTTGACTACAGGAGGAATCTTGGTTTGGCCCCTCACGGCGATTCGTATGGACACAAACAGGCACTGAATAAATACATGTTTTCTTTGAGTTTCACTCATCTGGCTTCCTGGTTTACTCGATTGCGGTTCTGGTGCTGTTTGTTGTCATTCTTTAAGAACCAATTAATCAACAAAAGTTGATTTCCTCATGCACTTTGCGGCTTACCCTTCGGTCGCCGGCAAAGAGGCACAACTTTGAACTTTCCAGTTCCGTCCTCTGACAGGGAATCCCCACAAGATCCTTAGGGATAAGAGGGAAGCCCAGGAAAGATGGCCGTCTGCTCGGCGGCCAACTCGACCATCAGTCAAGCACATACTCCAGACGTGAGAGGGCCTGCCAGGTTTTAACTTTGGCATCTTTCCCATTTTGGGGGAAAGACCTTTGCCCGAGACGAAGCTGGGCTAGATGTAGTGATTGTCTCGCCAAGCAGAAGGCCTGTTCAGACATCTGTCACTGCCCCAGGAATGGCAAGCGATGGGTAACAAACATGGACTCTTCTCGATCTCCTTTGCCCGCAAGCATCTCTACCTATGCAGAAGCATGCAAGCGCATCCGGGCCCCTGGTGTACAGACTCCTCCGCACTGCGGATGTGGTTTCTTCTCCAGGATCCAGAACCGGGCTGGTTCTAGAGGCCACGATCCACCCTTTTGGGACCTGTGGCATGCACGGTTTTCTGACCAGCCTATGAGGGTAGCCAGCATCCACTCCCCCACTCTCCGGCCTCGGAGGCTAACAGGGCAGCGTCTGCCTGCCCAAAAGCTGGGAAGAACTCACTGGGTGGTCTTCAGGTAGACACACACTTTCATCCCTCATCAAGGATGGCCTACCTTGGGTACCTCACACCTTTGGAACACTTCAGGGAAATCACTAGAAGTACTGAATCCTCGAGCTGGTAACTGAAATTATACGTGATCCCCCATACTAGAAACCTGGCGCCAAACTGAGAGGCAGCCCATCTGGGTTTTTCTTGCCCGTGACCTTGATCAGTCCTACAGAAATCTCCATCTGGCCAGGGAAAGGATGTAGTCTGCAGCTGGTGTGCATGCAGAAATGTTTCAGAGACTTGAAGGTGGTACGGTCACACTGTCACCCCCAGCTGCAGAATGTTTCTCCTCTCCACCTGTTTCCTGCTGGGGGGTCTCTAAATCAAACAGGTGCTGCTGGTTCCTCGAGCAATACATAATCCTGCAAAACCTATTTGATTATGTGTGCCAATAAAGAGAGAAAGCCCATGCATACCCAAAAAAGATTGATTCCATCATACACCATTCAAGTCTCTGAAAACGCCTATCTATATACCGACCACCTTGTCTTCTCCTTGTCTTTCTAGCCCCCTAGAAGGAGACTCGGGTAGGCCTCAGTGGGGCAGAGTGTTCAGAAAAAGCGGAGGGGATCTATCAATTCTTTGCAGCCCAAAGGCAGCTGATGTTGGTCCATTTCTGAAGATACCCAGATTTGGACTTGACCTGAAGGGAAGGGAAAACGCTATATAAAAGCAACAGATAAACCTGTGTCTTAAGGCCCAAAGACTATTCCCATGACCTTGACTGACCTTGAGATGTCCTTCCTGGCTTCGCCTGGTCAGAAAGCTAGAGGCCCGGGTTGGGCGGAAATCTATGGGACCAATATGTGTCCAAAAGCTGGGACCATCCTCCTCTGGGTCATTGTGGAGGGGAGCATCGAGAAACGCCCCGCAACCACCCCTATTCACTGTCCCTGTGGCAAGCAAGGCCTCGTTATGGGACAAACCCTAGCCTGGAACTGGGGACACGTGAAAAGGCAGGTACGCAGCCCTAAGTATAGTGAACACAAATTCTAAGGCACACAAATGTAAGGTGAATAGGTGCCTACGTATTTACTGTATGCTATGATCACACATACAGATATTCGCACCAAAGAGAGACACACAGAGAGAACTAAAAAGCCCTGACTTTGCATATGGTACCACACACACCCCAAAGTCCGTCACAGTGCTGTAGACGCATCCACACATAAATGCGCCACTGTGCACACACAGAGACAGTATCTCCCACTGCCTCTCCCGTACACTCCCCAAACCACCAAGGTTTCCTAATGGGATCGCACGCAGATATTTCCTTTTCCTCCTATGCCCACATCCATGAGCAGTCCACGCACACGCGCTGCTGTTGATATACGTTATGTGCTTCTCTGTCACCTGCACCAAATTTCACTTTGGCTAGGGGGTGGGCTGGAAATTGGCAACTCTTTTCCCTCCCCCCCCCCACTTCTCCCTCACAGACAACTGCAATCCAGGGCGATGGAGGAAAATGCAACCTGATAAAACGTGCACGGCTAACTGGCCAGGCAGGGTCACACTCTACAAGCCATGCTTTGCCCTGGACGTGCACTGCAGTGCGGATAGAGAAACCGCTTTTTCCCCCCTTGACCCATGTGTAAAAGCGGGGGGGGGTTTTCAGAAGGGGGGAATCCCCTCACTCCCCGCTGCGGACAGAGCCTACTGATGCGCCTCTGGGAGATGCATCTCAGAGGCCGGTGGCGCATCGGTATCGCTATGGGGCAACTATGGCAGGGCGCCTCTAGCCCCCAGCACTTCCAGGGCACTGAACCCCCACCAGGCACAGGCCGGGGCCTCCCTGGCAGTGTCGTAACCGACCGCCACCCCCCTATTCTGCAGTGTTGCGACGGAAGGAAGGCAGCGATGCCTGGCGGTGTGCCAGCGCTGCAGTAGGCTCCCCAGCCGCAGAGGCCCACACAGGAGGCAGAGGAGGGAGGAGGGCAAAGGGGGATCCCCTCCCAGCCTTCCTCACCCCAAAGAGGCTCCCCGGGGAGGAGACAAGCGGGGTGAGGGTACGCCTGCCCAGAGGTGACCCATGCAAGGATGTCGTGCCCTTCTTGACCTGAGACCAATTAGGGAGCATAGGCCGAGACTCCTGGACCCCACCACCACATACAGGGCCAGAAACTGCCCCTAACAGGAAGGCAGGGGTGGCGTGCGGTTACTGGGGGGGGGGCAATCTAAGGAATCAGGGGTTGGGGGGAGGCTGATCGTTTTAAATCGAGGTAGGCCCTGCAGTCTGCCCCCCCCCCCACTGCAGGGAGGAAACCTCTTCTGATCTGCAAAAACGGAAGGGGTGGGGGCGCTCCAGGGGGGAGGAGAAGAGGGGAGGGAAGCCATCCCTCCCCCC